AGTTGAAAAATGATTTTGGCAATTTTAAAAGGCACTTTAAACGGTTTAACAATATGATTTCTCAGACACTTTTAGGGGATAAGTAGATAAATTTCTTTTCTTTTAAATTCACTTAGTTATCTCAGTTTCATAGGAATTGTGTCTCCAGTCCATCTTTGAGTAAACTTAAGTGTCAGTGGTTTTAGGGATTTATGTCTACAGCTGCATTTGAATAATGAAAAATAAAAATTTTATCAATGATTGTAGTCATAAAAGTAGTCCTTTAAAGATTGGACCACACATGAACACAAGTGGATGGAGTGGGTGGGATCCCAGCCATTATCCATATAAGCAGAGGGAGGCAGGAAGTCAAGGAGAAAGGGGTCCAGCCATGAGAGAATTAGGTAGATGACCAGTGAGTAAACTTAAGTGTCAGTGATTTTCAGGATTCATGTCTCCAGTCTGCCTTTGAATTGGTAAACACAAAATTTTATCAATGACTTTAGATCATCATAAATGCAGTCTTTTGAAGATTTGACCACCCATTTGGTTTTGGGGTGGTCTCATCACTTTCAGATGGGGAGATAGGACCCCAGCAATTATCCATATAAACAGATAGAGGTAGGAAATCAGTAGAAAAGGGGCCCAGCTGTGAGAGAAGTAGGTAGGTGATTGGAGTTAGAAGCTGGCCAGTGACAGAAGGACCATTAGTGAGGAATCAGGGGTCACTGAGCCCAGAGGCCAGTGAATGTAAGGGTCCTTTTCTGTGGCTGGAAGTTTAGTAAGATAGCAGCCCACGTCTCAAGGCTGAAGGAATTATCCCATGGTTAAGTGAGAAATCGTATTGTTGCTACTTCCTAACCAGAGGGTCTTGAAAAACAATTGACTTCATTATTTATTGAAAGTGATCACGGCCGAGAAGACAAACTTATGCACATAGCATTATAGTTGTATATGCAAATACAATCAACCTTAGATGTCATCACAGGTGGAGTAAATGACGGACGATCATTAAACTTGTCACAATTCCACTACAAATAGCATTACACCTGCTTGAACTTCTTGTTTGGTGTGAACACGATCAAGAAAAAAAATTACCAAGTGTAAAAATGCATACCAAAGTAGTGATGTATTAATCAAATAGCAAAAATTGTACAACATTTTTTTTTTTTTTTGACAATGGTTATACAGGCTTCAACTCATTTATTTTTAATCTTAATTTTTTTATTTTATTTTATTTTATTTTACTTTAGATGTTTTTGAGTAATCATAACAATACAATTTCTCACACATCTTTAGAATTAAATTTCTTTTCTTCTGAGTTCACTTAGTTATCTGAGTTTCATAGGAATTGTGTCTCCAGTCAATCTTTGAGTAAACTTAAGTGTCACTGTTTTTGGGGATTTATGTCTACAGCTGCCTTTGAATAATGAATCATAAAAATTTTTTATCAATGATTGTAGTCATAAAAGTAGTCCTTTAAAGATTGGACCACACATGAACACAAGTGGATGGAATGGGTGGGATTCCAGCCATTATCCATATAAGCAGAAGGAGGCAGGAAGTCAAGGAGAAAGAGGTCTAGCTATAAGAGAATTCAGTAGATGACCAGTGAGTTAGTAGCTGCCCAGCAGCCATGAGTGAGGAATCAGCAGCGACTGAAGCAACAGGCAGTGAATATAATGGTCTCTTTTCCATGGACAAAAGTTTAGTAAGATAGCAGTCCACTTCTTGAAAGTGAAGGATGGATCCCAGGGTTAAGAGAGAAATTGTATTGTTGCTACTTCCCAGCCAGAGAGACTTGGAAAACAATTGTCTTCATTTTCTGTTGAACAAAAACATCACAGCCGAGAAGACAAACCTGTGCACTTAGCAAGTTGTATATGCAAATACAATCAACCTTAGATCTCATCACTGGTGCAGTGAATGACAGACGATCGAAGAACGTCATCACAAAACTTGTCACAAATGGCATCACAAGGGCAAGTTTTGGTAATTCGCAAACATGAGGAAGCTTTTAAGAATGACATTTTGAAACAAAAAGATGAAAGGTTAAGGTAGATACTTGTGGTTTATGAATACAGCACAAATGTTCTAAAATGTTTACAATAGATAGACTAAAATATTAAGGTCTATACTAAGAGATTCCCATACTATTTTCTTCTTTTCCAAAAAACTCTTCACATGTCATAATTAGTTACCTCCCCTAGTATGTAGCATACACTGAATAGCACAAAAATTAGCAAGCCTCATTCCACATGTAAAATTATAACTTTCTGATGAACATAGCAATTTTCTCTTTTGGAAATAATGAATACTACATTTTGTTTTAAAAACACATCCTGAAGATGACATTGAGTTAATGTCGAAAGTACCCGGAATAAAACCTGTCCTGGGTATGACGATAAAATACTTCAGAAACCTGGGCAAGACGATAAACTAGATCCAACAGCAAGGCCTCTGATCAGGAGGTTTTGAGGAGCACCTGTTAGGGTCCCTGCTATGGGTAAATAGTTAACCCTCAAACTGGGGTCAAAACACTATGAATATGTAAAAATGGATTTAATACCAGAATTACTATGCAAAAAATTATCATCAGCACTAAAGTTTTGAAGAAAAATTATTAACAGCAATACATTTTTGAAAAAAACATTACCAGCAATAAAAATTGTTGGCATTAACCAAATGTGGGGAAGATGATAAACTACATTCAACAGGAGCATGGAACCACCTCTTAATTGCTGGTGTTCCCAGGTCCAACCTGACCTGGGGTGATAGTACCTGTTAGGGTCCCAGCTATGGGTAAATAGTTAACCCCCAAACTGGGGTCAAAACACTATGAAAGTGTAAAAATAGGTTTTAATACCAGAAATAATTTGCAAAAAAAAATTATTACTACCAATAAATTTTTGAAAAAAAAACATTACCAGCTATACATTTTTTGAAAAAAAATTACCATTGAAAGAAAATTATTACCAGAAGTAGATTTTTGGAAAAAAATATTACCAAACAATGAAAATTTTGTCGGCATTAAATAACCCATTGATGCTGATATGCTGTAAAACAAACCAAACCAAACCTGGAATAAAATAATATGTATCAACACAGTAATTTTCTCTCTCCTTTTAATACTGACACCAAAAAGCTCATCCCAGGATATGGATGGATCCTCTTGAAAATAAGCAGACAAAACTTGTTTAAATTATTCATTGAAACATGCCTTAATGAAAACATGCTGCCAAAACACACATTTTATTTATATATATATCCTGCTCTCACCCCTTCACTGTTGAAACTCCTAAATGTAGCCGTCTCTTCTACTCCAATAGCTTTATGTCTCGGACCTCTCGCCTGTAGAACTCCCTTCCCTATTCCAGTTTCCCTGAGAGCTACAATCTGCAGCTATTCAAATGTAATGTCAATCGACATCTCCAGTTGCCTTGATCTATCCACTACTCTTCTCTCATCCTTTCTTCTATCACTCCTATCTGATCTTGCTCCAAATTTTCTGTAACCCCATGCATCCTAGTGGCTTCCCACCTTGCTTGGGGTGAAACGCTTAAAAAAAAATATATATATATATATATAATGAAATGGATTAAGTTTGACAATTATTTTATTATATTTTCCGTTTATACATTATTTTTATAGATATAATTTATTTAAATAAATAGTCTGTTTTTGTAATGAAACATAATTACATTTACCAGCCTGAATGTTAGAGAAATTTTGAGAAAATATTTGCTTCTCTGACAGGAATTGAACCTGCAACATTAGGATGTAAACCATCATTTGATCTGGTGTTCTGTTAACTATTCAGTCACAAAGAAGCATTTGGCTAACAATGACTGAATTATACCTTTGATGATTTTTCTCAATCAGTCTCTCTCTCTCTATATATATATATATATATATATATTTGAGGAGGCACGGTGGAGTAATGGATAGCGGCTTGGATTGAGGAATCGCAGAGCCGAATTCGAATTCCAGTTGAATCCATTACATTCACTTCCGTGCTAATACCCTTGGGAAAGGTGTGAATCCTCTTCTTCTCCCTCCAGCTATAGGTAAATGGCAGGACAGACTGGGTTCTATAGCCTTGGATGGCAACTGGTCTTGGAGAAGGACAACTCTGAATTCAAAACCTGCGGAGGGTCGTTTGGGGCCCTTGTGGCACGTAGTGCACAAGGTCTCTGTATTTGGCCCTTCAAAAAGTGTGGATGGTCCTGCACGAAACCTTCACCACTATAATCAAATCTCATGTGTCGTTGCCGGGCTGTCGGTTTCCTGGGAACTGATCTGCTTAACCCTCATACGTCGAATTCGACGGGAGAGTCGAGAGTGTATGTATATATATATATATATATATATGAGAGAGAGAGAGATGCACACATATGCTATATTTATCATTGAAGGGATACAGTGTATTTATATATAAAAGTGGACAATGACATCAACACCAAGCAGTGACAGTCTGTTTCATGCTTAAATACAGTATTCAGGACCAGGCTATGCAGGACATGGCCTGAAGATTGCATTTAAGCATGAAACAGACTGCCTCCACTGGGTGTTGATGTCAATGTCCACTTTTATATTTACATATGTTCTATCCCTGATATTGGATGTAGTTTATCATCATACAGAGAACGGCAAAATTGAGATGTGGGTGAAATCTTATTTCTATCTATTCCTCCCCCACAAGTTCCCTGTTTGCATCACCCAAATAAAATTAAGGCTTAGAAATAAACAAACAAAACAAAATTTGTTATCTTGTGTTGTTTGTATAATTAGGAAAATATAATTTTAGGAAAATGTCGCAAACATGTTGAGACATTTAAAAGTGAAATAAAAAAAATCCAAAAAAGCCAAGAAGTTTCTTGCAGTCTCCGAGCTGAACTTGGCCTATTTTGCTGGCTTTTTTGAGTGACAATATGACATGCACTTGTTACTGCTGATGCCTTGTATTTTTTATTAATTAATTAAGCATCTATTAATTAGTCATGGAATAATCAAAGAGAAACATGTCCACTTCACATGACAGACTAGCAATACCTGTGGGGAGCTTGACACAAGCTTGCAGCTGTCTCCTCTTCACAATTTTCTACAGGGTTTTTCATTCATTTTTGTTTTTTTGGAAACTGAAAAACATTGATCTATTTTTTTTTTTACCTCACTTTACCCATATTTTTTTCCTCAATTTAGTCACTCTGATTTTTTCTCTCTCTCTCTCAATTTAGACTTTCTTTTTTTCTCTCTCTCAATTTAGACTTTCTTTTTTTTCTCTCTCTCTCAATTTAGACTTTCTTTTTTTCTCTCTCTCTCTCTCTCAATTTAGACTTTCTTTTTTCTCTCTCTCTCAATTTAGACTTTTTTTCTCTCTCTCTCTCAATTTAGACTTTTTTTCTCTCTCTCTCAATTTAGACTTTTTTTTCTCTCTCTCTCAATTTAGACTTTTTTTTCTCTCTCTCAATTTAGACTTTCTTTTTCTCTCTCTCAATTTAGACTTTCTTTTTCTCTCTCTCAATTTAGACTTTCTTTTTCTCTCTCAATTTAGCCTCCCTTTTTTCTCTCTCTTTAGACTTTCTTTTTAGTCTCCCTTTTAGACTTTCTTTTTATCTCTCTATTTAGTCTCCCTTACTTTCTCTCTCTCTCCCTCTATTTAGTCTCCCTTACTTTCTCTTTCTCTCTCAATTTAGCCTTCCTGATTTTCTCTCTCTCAATTTAGTCTCCTTGATTTTCTCTCTCTCTCTCTATTTAATCTTTTTGATTTTCTCTCTCTTTCTCAATTTAGTCTCCCTTATTTTCTCTCTCTCCCTCAATCTAGAAACTTTGATTTTCTTTCTCTCAATTTAGACTTTATTTTCTTTCTCTCAGGTTAGCCTCCCTGATATTCTCTTTCGCTCTCTCTCAGTTTATTCTCCTTGATTTTCTCTCTCTCTCGGTATAGTTGTCCTGATTTTTTTTCTCTCTCTCTCAATTTAGTCTCCCCTCTTATTTTGACCTGTCATTTATTATATATAATGATTTCTATTTATCTTTTTACACAAATGTGCACACACACACACAGAGCCTAAATGCATTTTTACTGTTATACTACCAAGAAACTTTGCATTAGATGAGGACCCTGGGGTCATGTCTGGTTTCCAACCCTACTCTCAATTCAGCCAGACATTGTCCGACCAGCCTTTATTCATCTATCTTTGAATACATGATTGTCATAACAAAACTAATGCAATTTCTATTTTGGAAGTTTTACACCATATTTCTCTCAATTCTGACATAGTTTAGAAGTAGAAGCTACTGCAAAACCATAATGTTTCAGCTGAATGGGAAATTGTAATGCATCGTTTTCCTTCTTTCTTTTAAATATCATTGTTATTTTCAAACTTTCAACTGTAGACACGCATGGTGAATTTTGTAAAAAGAATTGTCGACCTAAAAATGTATTTTTTTTTTTCCATTTTAACTTACTTATCACCTAATGATATCAGAACTCTACTTGGTTAAGCAACCAACAGCAAGGCCACTGATCAGGAGGTTTTGAGAAGAGTGAAACCACCTCTTAATTGCTTGTGTTCCCAGGTCCACCCTGACCTGGGGTGGTAGCACCTGTTAGGGTCCCAGCTATGGGCAAATAGTTAACCCCTAAAGTGAAGTCAAAACACTATGAAATTGTAAAAATAGGTTTTAGTACCATAAATACTTTGTAAAAAAATTTTTTACCAGCAATAAAAATTTTGTCAACATTAAATAACCCATTGAGGTGTTGATATGCCATAAAACAAAATAAACCATCCAAACCATTCAGACACAAGGAAAAGAAAAAAAAGGAAGTTAAAGAAAAAATGTTTTTATATATATATATATATATATATATATATATAGATATAATTTTGTTTTCCTATGTTTAATCATTTTGATCACATGAAAAGAGGGGGAAAGACACTACTTGGTTTCAGTGATAGAATCAATGCATGAAAGAAAGAAGGGAAGCTAGAAGTGTTTAAAGTCAGTTTCCATGAAATGAAAAATAGTTGTCAAGTTCAAATCTTTTCATTTGTACCCCCATACTTCCTTAAAATAATGAACAGCATTCACATTTATGATTGTGATTTCAATATTTTGTCTGTGATAGTAATCCAAATTCTTGGATTGCCGGATAAAATGTTCCTTTGCTCAAAAACATTTGCGATTTCTCTTTAAAATATACACATTTCTCTTGGGCCAATGTTAATCTCTCCCTTATATTCAGATATTATTTAAAGGAATTCGTTTTTTTCTATGTTTAACTATTGTCTTTCATGTGTGGTAGTAATCCAAATTCCTCTAGGATTGGTGGAGAAAATGTTCTTCTGCTTAAAGGGTAATAAAATAATTAGAATTTGTCAGAGAAAGGTGGAAGGGAGTGGGTGTTTGTTCTTATTTTTTTAATGACCTCTGTATCTTTTTAAACCTATCTCCATTTTTGTGTAAAACACATCACTAAAAAAACAAAAAAAAAAAAATGCACACACAAAAATGGAGATAAGACATTTGGCACTTGAGAGAGGAGTTTCACTTATGACAGTCCAAAGAGCAATGAAAAAAGACTTGGAAATGAAATCCTACATGAAACCTTGGAGCCACCTTGTTACTCCAGGACAGAAAGTTAGAAGATTAGAGAGGGTGAAGATCATCTTGAATAAGTTGGAAAATGATCCTGGAATATAGATATCTATAGATAATGAATTTAATTTCACTCCTACATGAGTTTCTGATCCTTAGCTATGAATAATTAATGATGACTATGTTATTTTTACTTATGATCAATTTCATCACAATTCATCAGTTAATCTTGGAGAGTAATTATACATTCCTCTTGCTCAAAGTAGAATCCAACAGTGTTATGAAAAACTTGAAGAATTCGAGTAAGATATCTTTAATCATTTCTAAGATACAACACTTCAAAACTTAATCTAGCAATTGGACAATTTTGCTGTTACACACGGTGTGTGTGTGTGTGTGTGTGTGTGTGTGTGTGTGTATATATATATATATATATATATATATAAACTAAAAATCCTTGAAGCATTATACATCAAACAGTTGAAACCCAACCTAAACAAAATCAATTATGGCATCTCTACAAATATTCCTAAATGTTTATAATTGGTAACAGAACCCATTGGTTTATACCAACGGGTCCCATACTTCATACTTCTCCAATTCACTTTCATATGGTCATGTGTGACGTCAAGAGATGTGGTGCGATTTTCGCTTCTAGCATCTTATATGCACGTGTTTATCATTGCTTAGAAATCATCTATGTAAACAATGACAGACTGCTTAATATGTTGTAATTGACATCTTTGATAATGGTTTATGTAAGCCGAAAGCTTAGATTGTATTAAAAAAAATATGGATCGATATTGTGAATTTCTTTCTTCGTTCAACGATAATGTTATTAAACTTATCAGATGTTACGAAAAAAATTTACATAAAATAAATAGACAACACTTGTCTATATTATTTAATGAAACATGAATATATATATATATATATATATATACACACACACACACACACATACATACATACATACAATTATAGGATTGGTGTATACGGAATAAATTCCAATAACCAAAAATTACTATTCTTAAAAGAGTGCTCAATACAGAGTACAGCAAATATAATTATTTATTCGGAAATTATAACATAAATATGTTATAAAATCACTACAAAAATAGCCATTTTGTTTCAACACCTCCGATGTCTTATCAAGTGATGATGTTGACACCAGATGTGTTGAAACAAAATAGCTATTTTTGTATTGATTTTATAACATATTTATGTTATAAATTTCGAATAAATCATTATATATATATAATACAAATATAAAATTTTTCACTTAGCTGATTGATGTTACCTTCAGCATCCCAACTCCAGAGTTTTGTAGACGGTCCCTCCAGCAATCCTTCCATTCTAAATCACACAGCCAGACTGTATTTTTCCCTATAAAGGGGATACAAGGTCAAACCTTGTTGGAAGGCACATTTTCTTTATTACAAATTAGTGTATGACTCAACAATCAGTTCAGTCTACATGTGTGAAATATCTGGTTTAATGTTTGAGACATCATTTGTTTGAATTCTTCTGTTGACACTATACATTATTATTTATTACCTTTAGTGTTTTGAAATATTATGACCTTGAGAGTTTATTGATTCCTGGAAACATGGATAAATGAATTTATTTTGGTGGGAATGAGGATAGAGGAATCAATTTTGTCCGGGACGCGGACGAAGGAATCGATTTTGGTCGGGTGGTGGGCGGAGGGATCGATTTTGGTCGGGACGCGGACGGAGGGATCAATTTTGGTCGGGACGCGGATAGAAGGATCAATTTTGGTTGGGACACGGATAAAGATTTTGATTTTGGTGGGAAGATGGATAAACAAATTAACTTTTTGGTGACAACAAGATATGATTGGATTTCTAAAGATCAATAAACACACAGTTTCATTGTTAGCATTAATATTTCTTTTCACTTACCTGATAAAAAAATAAATAAAAGTGATTCTCTGGAATATACCCTTTTCATCTGTCTGTTCATTTCAGATTCCATCCTAATATTTCAGCTAATGTGTTCTTCAGAACAAAACAATAAAAATGAGGTTACTTACCTGAACTATCTGTGATATCATAAAAATCTTTTTTTTTTTTTCAGGACTGTGCAGGTAAACCTCTTTTCCTGTTGTTCCAAGCCATGAAGCAGCAGGTATCGAAAGGTCCTGTTGATGCCATTTCAAGTGAGGCCAAATACTCATTGAGTGAAGACAAACTAATTCGGCAACAAATCGAGTTCAAGATATTGGTAAGTTCTTGCAAGTAACTCAGCACACATGATTTCACCATACTTAAATATATATATATATACACACACATACATACATATGATATTATATGATAATTAAGATTTAACTTTTAAATATCAATTTTATCCCGACATCGATGTTTCTTGGTAAAATTTCCAGTCTTCAGGGGTTGTGATTTTAAATGGTACTTCCAATTTTTTTTCACTTTATTCCGCATCTTTTTCAATCCACTTTTTTACTCTGTTTTGTACACGTGTATTCGTGAATTTAACATTCTTTTACACGTGCATGTTCATGAAATTTTGCTTTTGTCTATGTCTTTCATTTTTCAACTGTAGATCTTTCTACCTGTTATAAATTTTTTCTTTGAAATTAAATTAAATTTTTTTATGGTTTATATTGAAGTTGTTATACTATATTAATTAAATTCTAATATTTGCTAATTTTTATTATTAATTATAATATTTTGAATCAATATTTTAATTGATTTATTATGTTATATTATTATTAATATCAACATTGATATCAACATAGATATATAATTTATATTGATACCTTTTCATATAATATCATTAATGCCCTATTTTTAATATTATTTTAATATTTTTAATATTTGAGCACTATATATAAAAATATCTGCTGTTAAATTTCATAATATATATATATATATATATATATATATATATATATATATATATATATATCAAAGTATGAAAGGGAAAAAGAAAAAAATATATATACATGTATTGTCAAATGACCGGATATATTGTAGCATCCTTGTCGAACGTAATTTCAATGAAGAAATGAATTGAATAAACATATATATTTTTTTCTTTTCTCAATAATTTTGTAGTTTTTAAACTTAATAGTGATTAAATTTGGATTTTAAAATTGCCAGTTTTTAATTTTAATATTAAATTTTATCATATAATTTTATAATTATTAGTTAGTATAAATTATTTTTAATATTACACGATTTAAAGATCTGAATAGCTATTATAGGATTTCGTTGTCAAGCTTTTGAATCTTTCTATACTTCGTTTTTGATTGGTTATTCTAGCTTTTTGTAACAATGTTTCCAGTGTAGGATCGTTAATTAATCTGAAACTTTTTAAAACCATTTATTTTCTTTTCAACATCATCACTTGATAAGACACAGAGTGTGTTGAAACAAAATGGCTATTTTTGTAGTGATCTTATAACATACTTATGTTATAATTTTTTATAAAAAATAATTATATATATATATATGACTACTCAAAGTTTCATGTGGTAACACAATCATCAAGCAGATAAAATATGGAGGATTGTGTAACTGCATGAAAACCTGAGTACCAGATTTTCATTACCATCCTATTATAAGTGTGCTTGTTCCTCTCGGCATTAGTTTGCACGACCGTTAAGTCTTGCCAATGCCTCATAAATAATTCACTATTCCATTTTGATCACATGAAAAGAGGGGGAAAGACACTACTTGGTTTCAGTGATAGAATCAATGCATGCATGAAAGAAAGAAGGGAAGCTAGAAGTGTTTAAAGTCTGTTTCCATGAAATGAAAAATAGTTGTCAAGTTCAAATCTTTTCATTTGTACCCCCATACTTCCTTAAAATAATGAACAGCATTCATATTTAATGATGTGATAGGGGAATTTCTATGGATATTTTTTGTGGGAGAATGCACCATGAGCTTATTCATGAAGAATTAAGATCAATCAAAAAATTCAAATATGAAATACATGAAATTTTTACGGGTTTTAATATTGTATTAACAATATTTTATATATATATATATATATGATAAGGTAAAAAATCTGTTGGTATATAATCCAAGTAAATCCTTGTAATATGAAAATATTTGAACTGATCTACAAAAAGACCTCAATGTATTTTATTTAATTTATACAGAACAATATAATTAATAATCAAACAAGCTTTTGTTAATGGCTGTTTATATATGCTCCCTTTGAGCGTGTTTTTGTGTGAGTACTTAGTGTTCCATGCTGAATAAAAGACCTATACATAAGCAAGCATGACCCTGAGATTTTTCAGGTCAACTAATTAAGACACTAAGCACCCCCATGATTCACCCCAACTTTTTCTTTTACATGAGAAATGATAACATCATTCCAAGTGCCACATTTGCCTAGACTTCCATCTTTATTTGTTTTCTAACTGCACCCCTAAAAATAAAAACCTGAGCCATATCATTTAAAGCACAGCTGACTAAAAGAATGCACCCCAACCACAGGGCACAGACTGAAAACAACATTCCTCATTGTCACTATCTATATTGCCTCCAGCAATGGGATCAGTTTTCATTCTTCTTCCATTTGCCATGTCTCTTAAAGATGTGAGAAGACGTGACTCTCCACAACTTCATTAGTTCTCTCCCTTGATTTAATAGATTGTGTTGATCTTTATATTTTATTATCCTGTTTTTTTCTTCTAAACATAGCTTGCGCCTACCTCTAAAACTATTGGAGGTGTTCACAAAACCTAGAATTTTCCAATTTATTTGAGGATCTATACTGATTGATAGTTGCATACTGATATAGCTCTCTCTCTCTCTCTCTATATATATATATAGAGTGTGTATGTATTTAGGCAGCAATCCTTCATTTATGCATGTTTCATTAAACCTGACAGACAAGGTACTATGATTGAGCTTTTTATTTAATTTTTCTAGTATTCGAATAAGAAAAATTAAATAAAAAGCTTAATCTTAGTACCTTGTCTGTCATTTTTAATGAAACATGCATATATATATATATATATATATATATATATATATATAAAAAAAAATCCATTTGTATATAATCCAAGTGGATCCTAGAGATATGAAAATTTTAGAACTGATCCGCAAATAAGAGCTCGGTGTATTTTATTTAATTTATACAATGCAATATAATTAATAATCAAACAAATCCTTTTTACCTCATCTGGGGAATAGGCTATTTCAGCAGACGACAAAAGTGGTTGTCTGTCTTTCAACCCTGGTGTGGACCAGGATTGAAAAGAAAGACGACCATTTTTGTTGTCTGCCTAAATAGGCTATTCCCCATATGAGGTAAAAAGGATTTGTTTGATTATTATATATATATATATATATATATATATATATATATATATATATATGTGTGTGTGTGTGTGTGAGGGATATATAATAGTGGAGAGAATTTGACACCAACATCTATCTATATAAATATATATATTTACACACACACACACAAGAGCACATTGAAGTCAAAATTCAGTACCGACAGTCTGTTTTATGCTTCAATGTCCACTTGTATATTTACATATGCTATATCACTGATATTGGGCACTTTAACCCATAAATATAGCATGCCTTTAAACTAATATATATATATATATATATATATATATATATATATATATATATATAGAGAGAGAGAGAGAGATAACTAGACTCGTTGGTTTTTTGTTTTTGTCACGTGGTATGACTTTATCACCTATAAATATGTGTTTCTCTTTGCCTCGTTAGCCAAACTTTCCCTGACGATCTGTTTAGGTGAAACCTAGGTAGATTTGTCTGGCTCACTAGGTGTATCTATATATATATATATATCTTTGCCTTACCTGATTTTCTTCATAATAGCTCCTGCTAGCATGCATGTGTAAAACAAAAGGCACCATCCACTGCTTACCATCAGTTATCATTCACAATAAGAGAGCCCACCCCCATATATAAACAAGAAAACAAATCAGGAACTCTAATGAAACCCTTTAATATAAGGGATAAATAGATCGCCCCACAAATATTAAATGGTATTAAAAGAATAAAAAACTGGTCTAATGTTAAAAAAACAATTCTTTCCCATGTTGTTGGGTGTTATGTTCCAGGTTGTTCGGATGAATAAAAAATGAATGAAGATGAAAGACAAGTGTATTTTAACACATAATAAAATATCTTTCATTCATTTACTGCCTAAGAACAGCTTTTACTACCTGATACCCTTGCTGACTATTATTTTTTTTCCTCCAGACTATCAATGTTTGTGACAGAGAACAGTACAACCAGCCATATGTACCTGTCAAAGTCCTCGATTGTGACACAATCACTCATGTCAAAGAGAAGATTTTGGATGCTATTTACAAGAATGCTCCATTTAGTACCCGGCCAGCAAAAGAAAATTTAGACCTTGGTAAGTATTAAGATGATTTTATAAAAAAAAAAAAAAAAAGTCCTTGTTTTATTTCAGCTTCCTTTAGTTTTTCTAGTCTTGTTCCTATCTGTCCTTAATGACAAAATTACCGCCAATAAGAAATAATGATAACTTGGGATTTGTGGGTTGTGCAAGTATCAACAGTTTCCAGACAGTATTTGTTGAGAGAACCCCATTTCATTCTCTTTAAATATATATTTTTTTTTCTTCTTTGTGGCAATATTTCCCAGAAACTACTGCTATACAGGAAACTTCTGTCAAGGAAAAAATAACAACCAAGATGTGTCTCCCCACCCACCAGAAATTTTTTTACAATGATAATCACTCTGTACAACCAGGGCCGACTTTTCAGTGAAACATGTTGTGTACTAGTTAAAATATTTTGACAAGATTGCATCACTATTTTAGCCAATTAAGCTTATTGTGCTTAATCCACTGTTTTATTCAGATCATTGTCTACCTCCAGCAAATGGTAGTCAAGCCAGTAGCATAGCTAGAGGTGGGCAGTGGGGGTTTGACCTTGGGATACACATTTATGTGAGTGGCATGTCTAAGTCTGTATTGAAATGAAAGTAGTTTTAATGTCTGGGCACTATTCCCAATTGAAGTTCATTTTTGATTTTGAGAAACTTAAACTATGGCATATGAATTTAACTGATTTTTATTCAGTAATGTCATCGGAGCCATTTTATCATTGTTGACAATGTGAAACCTGTGAACAGAACCAGGATGTGTTCTTTTAATGCAGGAGCACAGCTGTGTGTGGGAGACACACCTTGGTTGTTATGATATAAATTTCAGTTATTTTCCTTGACAAAAGTTTGTTTAAGGGAACGTGTTGCTCTATTTTTAATCTTTTAGACCTGTTAATAGTTTATATATATATAAAAACATGTGAGAACTGTGTAATAGGTTTTTTTTTGTCAGGGGGTAGGAGGAGAGTTGACAGAACACATGCACACTATGCTCTGGGCAGCACACACTCTAGCTACACCACTGAGTCAAGCTTTTTTTAAAAAAATTTCTGCTTGTTTGTTTTGACAATCACATTTTTATTGAAACGCTATTTCAAAATATATTCTTATTAATATCCTCTTTCTTTCTTCTTTGATCTCACTACACTGTCTTAATTTCATATTTGAACATTTTTCAGTGCTTTTAAATCTTTTTGTCTGAATTTCTGGGATGAGAACATTGTATCTCCACCAAATGGGAATCAAGCTGGTAGCGTAGCTAGAAGTGAGCAAGGGGCCAGGGGGGATGGTAACCTTTGAATCTGCTGTATAGGAAGACACAGGTTTGAATCCTGTTGGAGGATGCATATTTTTCTAACAAGATATCTCAAATATTCAGGCCAATAAATAAATATACTGTTTAATAAATAAATAAAAACAGAACATCTCAAATATGAGCATCCATTTAAAATATAATGTTTAAACAAATAAATTAAAAATAAATATGTCTGATTTAATTCACTTCCAAAATATATATATATATATATATTAATGCATGTTTCATTAAATAATATAGACAAGTTTTGTCTATTTATTTTAAGTAAGTTCCTTTCATATTGTCTGATAAGGTTAATAACATTATCCTTGAAAGACGATCAATCACCATATTGATACATGTTTTAATCCAATCTAAGCTTTCGGCTTACATAAGCCATTATCAAAGATGACAATTACTTTTCAATATATAAACCAATATACGGACGAAACAATAATGATTGTCATTGCTTTGTTTTTGTTGCATGGACAATTTCAGACTAACTCATGTATACGAGACACGGAAGCAAAAATTGATTCGCAGCTCGTGATGTCACACATGAACACGTGAGAGTGAAAACGAGAAGTATTAAGTATGGGAAGCCGTTGGTATAAACCAATGGCTTCTGTTATCAATTATAGGCATTTAAGAATATTTGTGGAGATTTTGTAGTTTATTTGGTTCAGGTTAGGTTTCAACTGTTTTATGTATATAGCTTCAAGAATTTTTAGTTTTTGTTTATTGTTTTCATGTTTAAGTATAATTGTGTTTTCAACAAGGATTTTCCAGAATTGTGTACGTGGCCATGTGTGATGTCACGAGCTGCGATGCAATTTTCGCTTCTGCAGCTTGTATACACGAGTTAGTTGTTGATTTGAAATTTTTCATGCAACAAAAACAGACTATCATTATTGTTTCGTCCGTGTATTGTTTGATATATTGAAATGTAATTGTCATCTTTGATAATGACTTATGTAAGCCAAAGGCTTAGATTGGATTTAAACATGTATCAATATGGTAATTTCCTTTAATCTTTTCAATGATAATGTTATTAAGTTTATCAGACAATATGAAAGGAACTTACTTAAAATAGACAAAACCTGTCTATATTATTTAATGAAACATGCATTAATGAAAAATTGCTGCCTAAATATATACACACACACACACACACACATAATTTACTATTTTAAAAATATGGTCCCATCACTACACAGGAATTACCATGTTTCAAAATAGAAACTAAAAAATTTTAATTTAATTATAAAATTAAATTTAAAATCAATAGTTCCAGTCCATTATGAAGCAATTTTTGGAATAACCTAATTAAGAAGTTTACTTCACTTATAAGCACAGACAATTTTAATATTAAATAATAATTAATAAACTGCTAAGGTTATGGAAAAATTCAATCATTTTGATAAGGGGTGATTGGGTGTTGATTTCATCAGAAATTATGTATCAAATATAAATTACTTTCAAAATTATAACTTATATTCAATACATAATTTCTGTTGAAATCAACACCCACTCCATAATGGACTAGAAATATGGATTTTAAATTTAATTTTATAATTAAATTTAAAATTTTTGGTTTGTATTTTGAAACAGGGCAATTTCTGTGTAGTGATGGGACCATATTTTTAAAATAGTAAATAATTATATTATGCTCTATGGTTTATGTAGCAAGTACTGTTTTTTTTTAAATAAAAATAATTATTAAGAACACCAGATTGTAAATTTTAGTGTTCTTATTATTTTAATAATATATATAATTATCACTTTAAACAGAATATTTATTTATTTTTGTCTACTGGCCTGAACATTCGAGAAATCTTATTGAAGAAAAATATACACTGTCTGAAGTTGTGTCCTCCTGAGCAGAGGAAACCGTCATTAGGTTTGACGTACTTTAACCAACTCTGCCATGAAGAAGCTTTGCTGATCAAGCAAGGTTGAATAGTGCCTTTAGAGGAAATCCTTCTCAACATTGTCCACTGGCCTTAAAGGAAAACATACAAAGATAAATATATTGTTTAATAAATAAACATGTAAATTGCTTAGCTTTAAAAAAACATTAAATGAAACATGTTAGAATAAATAGGAAATATTTATAAATCTATCATTCTATTTACATTGTTCCAACTATTAACCTCATTTTTATTGTCATATTCACAACATTTTGGCCATTGTACACTCCAGAGGATACAACAGCTGAAACACCATGAAAATAATAACAACAAAGATCATTGGAATGTCAAACTGAACACTTTATTTCACTCACTGGAGTATACTACTCTAGTTCCATGTGCCATGTTTAATGGATGTCAGTTATCTCCTGTTAATTCTCCTCTCCAAGTTCTCCATTGCCTTAACCAGGTATTGAACTCACACTGTTTTGGTCCTGTCACTGGATCTTAACTAACGCCTTTATCCACTGTTAGATCTGGTGACAGGACCCAAAAGAGTGTGAGTTCAATACCCAGTTAAGGTAGTGGAGAACTTTCAGCCTGAAGAAGGCTGGAGCATACAATGGCTGAAACATTGTAATAAATATGGTAAAGATGAGGACAATAGTCTGAATAATGTAAATAATGTACATAATACCTCATCTCAGAAATATAGGCATCTATCATTCTGTCAGATACCGATTCATATCTGATCTGTAATTTAGCCTAATTCATATATATATATATATATATAAGGTCATCCCATAAGTTCTGTCCAAATTTTGAATAAAGAAAACAAGTGACCAAATGTTACATTTAATTACAGATTCAATCAACAATGAATTTTCCCTGATTATCTATGACTTCCTTCCATCTATTAACAAGCTTACTAATTCCATTACTGTAAAATTCTTTTGGCTTTGATTCGAAGAACTCACAAATGTCAGTTTTAACTTCTTCCTGTGTTACAAAAGCTGTTTCTTCCAAATGATTCTGTAAGCTACGAAACAAATGGTAGTCTGAAGGAGCAAGATCGGGAGAATAAGGTGGATGAGGAATTTTCCCCCAACCAAGTTCTTTGATCTTTTGTGACGTGATTCTTGCAGTGTCGGGTCGCGCATTGTCCCTTTTCAATTTACTAGAGCAGGTCTTTTTTTCCTCAAAGCTTGGTTCAAACGCTTTAATTGCTGACAGTATATTTGAGCATTAATTTTTGCATTAGGTGGTAAGAATTCAAAGTGGATTATTCCTTGGTGATCCCACCAGATTGAAAAAAGAACCTTTTGTCCATGAAGTTCCCTTCTCAGCTGTGGCTAGGGTCCTTCCCCTTTACCAAGCCACTGTCTTACGATGCTTAACATTTCGATAAAGATCCATTTTTCGTCCGCCAGTCACAAGTCTATCCAAAAAAGGTGAAACAAGTTGGCGAGAATGGAGAGAAGAGCAGATGTCAACTCGGATTTGAGGTTGTTTTCAGACAATTCATGAGGCACACATTTTCCAAGTTTAGGAACTTTTCCAAGTTGTTGAAGATGACGATGAACAGTTGTATGGTTTGAACTGAGAACCACTGCCAATTCCTCAACTGATAAAGTAGGATTTTCTTCAAGGGCTGCTTCAGGAAGCTTTTCATCAAACTCAACTGGACGCCCGGTTCGATCTTCATCTTCAAGGGTGAAATCTCCACCTCTGAATTTTGAAAACCATCTTCTGCAAGTTCTTTCATTCACACATTCCTCTCCATAAACTGAGTGAATGTTT